TCTTGTCAGATCAGATGGCTCGCACGAAGAATGTTGGGGGTGGTCCCGGAGATGACGATCGGAGGCCCCCGCCTTGCTAGCCTGCAGGATCCAAAGGCAAGGCGACGAAGCATGTTACATCTAAGAAGCGCAAGTACCCCGACGCAGAGACAGCGAGAGCAGCAACAGTCGCTGAGGCAGCAGAGCGTGCCGAGAGAGGCGATGCGCATAGTGGTGTTGTCATTGTAGATCCACAGCTCACACCAGCATAGAGGGCAGCAGTTGAGGAGGCTGAGCGTCGTCATGGTGGTCCACCTAGGACTGTCATGATGGCAGGACGTCGACTGGCTATTGAGGAGCCTCGACCTCAGGGGGAGTCCTAGCAGGAGCCACAGCAGCAGCCCCCACCAGCAGAGCCTCAGCCAGCTCAGGAGACTCAGGAGGGCCAGCAGGTCGAGGAAACCGAGCCGGCACCCCAGCTACACCGCTCTGGTCGTACCAGTGCTACAGTTCCACCGAGGCCAGCTACACAGCGCAGGGGTTCACACCCACCGCCTAGACCACAGGGTCCGCCTCCAGTGGTACACCTTGACTTGAGGGCCGCCACAGCCAGACAGGTTCACCAGAGATGGTTGCTGAGTACAGAGGTGCCACTACAGAGTTCCCAGCATATAACATGGCACAAAGGATCAGGCACGGCACACCACAGGCACCTACCCAGCCTAGTTGTCGTCCAGATGTTCCAGAGTCAGCAGCTCAGCAGGACGAGATTATCAGAGGCATAGCTGCTACTGAGGAGCAGCAGCTTGAGGCACAGCAGGATGTGACAGAGTCTAGTGACAGCTCGGATGACGACTATCTGCCGATTCCTCATATGCCTCCACGCAGACATGATGCAGAGGCCGGCAGTTCCAGCTCAGCTCCACCTGCACCGCAGACGGACCCCGCTTTGATTGCTATTCTTGAGCGGATGCAGCAGGATCAGACACGACAGGCTCAGGAGACAGCTGTAAACTTTGCACAGTTTCAGGCTCGTCAGGACGAGTTCCAGCGCCAGCAGCAGGTCTTCCAGCAATAGCAGCAGGCCCTCCAGCAGCAGCAACAGCAGATGTATCAGCAGCAGTTACTTATGTAGCAGCAGCTCATGGGATTCATGCAGCATGTAGTGACAGCTCTTGGGGCCCCATAGCCACAGCCTTCGCCCTAGATTGCTCAGCCTGCCACCACTTCGACGACTCCAGCAGTACAACCCAGTGGGCTTCAGAGTCAGGGACAGCCTCCAGCTCAGTTTACTTCACCTCCAGTACAGGTGTCACAGTGGTTGTCCTCACCAGTGGTAGCCCCGCAGTTCACACCATATCATACGGGCTTCTCACCGGATCAGTCAGCCTCGCTCTTTGTGCCTGACACGTCAGTCTCTAGGAGTCTTGGAGCATCTTTCAGCGAGTTGACCGGGATGCCTACACCGCCACATATGCATGCCGCCGGTCCCTCTACTACAGCTCCCGTCGCCGTGACGACACAGAGGCTTCCTAGCTCAGTCGCATCATCAGATCCTACAGATGTACCAGCAGCGTCACAGGCTGCACCTGCCCCAGCTTAGACCCAGACTGCTTCAGAGACACTTCCAGCCACAGAGGGTCAGTCAGTACAGAGCTTAGGGTCCGATGATGATGGTGCCCAGTTTCATCTTGCTCCACGTACCTCAGCGTCCGGCTCGTCCGCTGCAGCCCCACCGACCGACCCTTAGGTTTTAGTGTTTGACGCCAAAGGGGGAGAGGGTTCGAGTATGTAGACTCAGGGGAAGCGACTTTTAGGGGGAGCTTGTTATCTATTATTAGCTTATTATATACATTTGGAGTCTTATTTGTGTGATACACTATTACTATTATGCATTCGTGTGTTTACTTTCACACATATTATTATATCTATGTGATAGTGATATCTACGTGATTGTGATATATGACATGTGTACTCTCTACTTTACATTATTTATATGTCATATCACGTGTGTTATGCTTATTTGCCTTTGCTTCCGCGTTTATACTCCGATGCAAATGAGCTTTGTTCCTTGTACTCATGCTTATTTCATATCTTTTGAGTACATCGTGTTGGCTTGAGTCATATAAGCTTGACTAACACTTTTGTTCTTATTGACAAAAGCTTATATGAACCAAGCATGTCAAAAACCTCACTCTTTCACATACTCGAGGTGGTATTGCCATCAATCACCAAAAAGGGGGAGATTGAAAGCATCTAGGCCGCTTGTTGGGTTTCGGTGATTAATGACAATACAAGATTACTATGACTAACGTGTGTTTTGCAGAGGCAATTAAGTTAGGTCATGGTAATGGAGATCGATTGGGCGATCATGGATGTCATACCCCTACGATGGAAATCGTTTCGGTTTTCAAAGGATGGACGACAAGGTTAAGGATGGCTAGTTCTAAGTGTCGATTGGAGTTGGAGAGACACTTAGAGTAGTTTAGGACTTTGTTTTTCCTTTGGCCGTACTATTAAGGGGGGTATGGACGGGTAGCTTGACCTAGGTGAGTCTATTGAGTTAGGTGTGGTGCACACTTGATAATTCTAGCACTAGGTAGCTCCTACAAAGCCCTTTGATCTGATGGAGCTAATTTCATTCACAATTGATCGAGAGTTGGAAGTGAATGGAGGGTCAAACACTGACCGGACGCTGGCCGCAGGGTCCGGTCAGTTCATTTGACTGAGGTGAACCAGTCTGGTGTGATCGGACGCTGGAGTGGTCAAGTGACCGGACGCTGAGAGGAAGCGTCCGGTCGACTCCAGTAAGGTTCCAGAGAAGGCAATCTGCGACCGGACGCGTCCGATCAGTACTAACCGGACCCTGGTTCAGCGTCCGGTCGAGTACAGTAAGGTTCCAGTAAGGGTTTAATGCGACCGGACGCGTCCGGTCAGTGGTAACCGGACCCTGCCAGCGTCCGGTCAGTGTTTGACCCTCCATTCACTTCCAACTCTCGATCAATTGTGAATGAAGTTAGCTCCATCGGATCAAAGGGCTTTGTAGGAGCTACCTAGTGCTTGAATTATCAAGTGTGCACCACACCTAACTCAATAGACTCACCTAGGTCAAGCTACCCGTCCATACCCCCCTTAATAGTACGGCCAAAGAAAAAACAAAGTCCTAAACTACTCTAAGTGTCTCTCCAACTCCAATCGACACTTAGAACTAGTCATCCTTAACCTTGTCGTCCATCCTTTGAAAACCGAAACGATTTCCATCGTAGGGGCATGACATCCATGATCGCCCAATCGATCTCCATTACCATGACCTAACTTAATTGCCTCTGCAAAACACACGTTAGTCATAGTAATCTTGTATTGTCATTAATCACCGAAACCCAACAAGGGGACTAGATGCTTTCAACATGTAGGAGGTAGGAAGAGACTAGTGAATTACAAACATTTGGCACCAAATATCAACTATGTAGAGATCTTGAGGACATAGACGAGAGCCCCATAGACGGCAGGATTCCTTGCAAGCGGCGAGGAGGCGACGCAGGCAAGGTTGCAGTTGGCGAAAGGCGACACATGATTTGACTCACTTTTTCAACAGTGAAAAGATTCAATTCAACACAATTACTACCTCCAGTCAAGAATAGATGGCAAAAAACTTGTTTTTGTTTCTCTGAAACATCATGTTTTCATGACTGGAGGAACTCACTAAAGAGGTAATCATCAAATATAGACAAAAAACAACAAATGAGGTATCTGTCAGTCTCTGTGCCTTACCTCGATATCAGTTGCATCAGGCCTACTTGTGAGTTCTCTGGCAAGCAAATACCGATTTGGCCTATTTGGATCATCATAAAACACTTTCCACTGCCTGTAACATAAATAAAAAAAATATGCCTTAGCTTATTCCTTTGGATCATAAGTGAATGAAAATGAAGTTATCTACTCACCCTGGAAAGCATCTAAAGACTGCTCTCATTGAGTAAACAGTGGTAAAAGTACTGCAAAGTGAGTGGTGGATGTAGCAAAAGTAAGGGAAAAATTAACATATAATAAGCAAACATGCTCGACTGGACCTAGAGTCAACAATGGAAAATACACGCCTTTAATTTGTATAAGATCTAAGGAAGGTTTCTCAACCCCATGTGTTGACATAAAACAGTGGATTCATTATTTCATTAAATACCTTTTAGAAAATATAACTATCTGAGATAATTATATGATTTATGGGTACAACTACTGTAGTTTAGAACACATCAGTATATTTCACAAAAGAGACACGGATCATATTCTGGCCTCAATGAGCATTATATCTGTTTCCTGAAGCAGAATAGTTACAGTGTTACACAATGACATGCCAAAGTTTATAGATTTTCCACTTGACTTACCTTAAGAAATTTCTGCGCAGATTCCGGACATTAAAGCCTACTCCAACATCTCCACTAACAAGGCGTGGGTTCCACATGACAAGAGGTTTTATCTTCATTAAAAAGTAGACACTACTTGAGGATAGCATTAAATGAAATATATACACAAATACAAAGATGGCTGCTGATCAAATTCAATGTTAAATTAATCTAAATATGGATGGTTGGTTTAGGCATGAAGATTCGCATGAGTTCTTTCATGAAATGGCTATACATGTAGGTGGAATAGACTAATCTGCTGGAGCAGATGCATTTAGATCCTGCATAAGCACATGCGTGCAGCGGCAGATCCAGGAATTCAGCTGGGCCAGGGCTAGGCCAATGTAATATTGATCTGGGATGAATCTACTTGGGTGGATATGGAACTTTGTTAACCAATTTGCACTATATACAACATGGAAATACATGATTGATTTATGGCCTGGATCTGGATTTACCACACTGCATGTATGCCCTTTATCCGAATACTCTTATTCATGTAAAATTTATTCTACCAAATCTGCTTGGAGCATTAAATGAAATTTCATCTTTTTTTATATTTTCGATGCAAGATCTGCAGAAATTTGCAATCTGATCAGGCATAAGTTGCATACAGGATCATCAGAGTTGAGATGCGATGCGTTCAACAGCTTCCAGCATCTGATGATCAGGGATAATCATAACTGCGACCTCATCTTCAGGATCAACTGGCTTCCGGTCACTTAAGCTGCAAGTCAAGTCAAAAACAGATTGAACATTTGAAATAACAACCTGAGTACTATTTAATGTCATAATCTGGACACATCCATAGAGTTTCTTCTTCAAGAACACAAAAAATGAGTCAGAATTCTGTCTTGCCATGTCCAGTAAAATATGACATTTGCAACTAGGACTAAAGGTTAACTGTACAATTTTTGGTAGCTAGAAAATTAACTGTTCCTAGTTTCGAAAGAAAATCGATTGTGCTTTTCAATTGATATCGGTACCATGTCACTTGTAGTCAGAAAATCATGAGATGCAACAAGTTACATCAACTTGGTATGAAACCATCACTTCTCAGTGAATAGTACATTAGTACCTGGCACACTTGAATTGGGCATCTTTCCACTGATACTTGAGAAGGGCAGCTGCTCCAGCGTCGGGGAAAATGGCAGTGACTTTCTGCAAAACAGCAAGTGGAATCAGAAACAGACAAATACATAAATCACAAGAGGTCAAGCAGTAATCTTTAGTCTCTAACATCAATCAGGGCGAGAGTGTGCAATTGTAAGCTGGAGAGAGAGAGAGAGAGTAAAAGCCATGTCTAATGCTGAAACGACCTTGTATCCAAACCTGTCCTGTCCCTTGTACAAGTGTGTCCAGGAAAATCTTTGACAACGCCCAGAGCTCAGCCTGTGCTCCTTCCTCGTTGAGGAATTCCAACTCAGGGATCAGCAGCTCTTCCTGCAATATTGACATCACCAATCATAAATCCTCAAGAATCGTATGGTAAAAATGCATAATCAGAAGCTCAGCAAAAAGAGAGTACTTCTATAATTCTGTCACCATTTATACAGCATTACAGCAGACACGATTGAGCCGAATTACAGAAGCAACAATACGCATGTTCAGTATGCACAGTGAGAATCATACGATAGCTCGCAGGCCTCCGGAGTAGACGAAATCAGCGCTCGCCTTCCCCGACTGCCGAATCGCGCCCTCCAAATCCGATGGCAAGCAGCTGAACCACACAGACAGCATCTTTTGTGTTCTCAATTACGCAGGCACGAGTTGAGGGTGCAGTGAGCCTGACCTGTCGTCCTCCTCCACGGGCTGCGCCACCCCACCGTCCGCTGCAGCTTCCACCTACTCGGCCTCCGCGGGGTCGTCGGAGGCGTCGAACTTGCTGAACTTGGCTGTACAAGGTGGCGGCGCCCGGCGAAGGCGCACCCGCCTCGCTGGCACGTCGAGGCAGGATGCGAGATGTAGGGGCGGGAGGCGACGGGGGAGATGGGCAGGGCGAGCATGCTGGGGCAAGAGCAGGGGCGCCGTAGTCGCCACTGCTTGGCGCCGCGACCGTGCGAGGAAGACGTGGCTGAGAGAAGCGGCTGCTCTGCAGCTCCTCGGACAACGCATAGAAACGGGGTTCCATCAATTTCCCGTACGATGGAAATTGAGTAAAATACGCAGCAGTTCTTGAATTTTTACTGGAGTATATTGTTCAGTCCTCAAACTCACATTTTTAGGTCTAAATTTTCAAAATATTATTTTTTAAGATTTCCAGACTTATCTCAGTATATCATTTAGGTCTCTAAACTTGCCATGATACGTTATTTATATCCAAATAGACGTTGGATCCACAAATCATTCTTGACTAGCAAAAACTTAATGTTTAATGATGAAGACCTACCTCTTCCGCCTAAAGAACACTAGCTTTAGTCATAACGTCATCACTAGTGATAACGTCGTGGCCTTTGATGTGGAGAATAGTGAAGGCAATAAGAAGGAGAGAGCTAGTCAGCGACAGTAATGCGACGCCACACTATACTGCAACGCGGAGAAAGGGAGTGAGCATGGAGATGAAGCTAGAAGAGAGCATGTAGACAGAACCCTAGATACTAACATGTGAGGTGATTGGAACTCATTTGGATCTAGATGGTACACTGATAAATTTGAGAACCTAACAACAAAAATTTTGGAGTTTTGGACTGGGGATGACACGTCAAGACAGGTCCGGATACCTGAATATACATTTTGAGAGTTCGGATGTCTGAAAATACATTTTGAGAGTTCAAAGACTTAATGACACCACGAGAAAGTTACTTCAGAATGATCGCCAAACAAGATATGGGGCCATCTATAATGGTGTACTATCTTTGAATTCTCTGTCTTCTGTATGTATCTGTGGTGTAGCCACAGGACTTCAACAGGAGCAGCTATATAACATGTTATTACATCACGTTTTGCTATCAATATTTCACTACTCTAGTTGTTGCAAGCGGTTGCTGCGGCCTCGGTTTCCTTCCCAGTCGCGAAAGATTTGCCGCACCCACAGGTTTTTGTGGCATTTGGATTCTGGAAAGAGAAGCCGCCACCAATGAGGGCGTCGCTGTAGTCCAGCTCCATTCCAAACATGAAAAGAAGGCTTTTGGGGTCACAGACTGCAGAACCAAAGGAATACCTGCTGTTAGAATTGGTTCATTCTGAATAGAGAGTTGATCAGTTCAGATGGAAGTTATTAAAATCTGCCTATAAATGTATGCTATTAGAATTGGTTCATTCTGAATATACAGAGTCACAATCAGTTGAGATGGAAGTTATGAAAAATTGCCTATATTACAGCAGTCAGCCATCATTCGAAAGCAGAGCATCTCCAAGAGTTTGCTATCTCAACTTGGCATCCATATAATTTTGGCAAAACAAGAAAAAATAGCCTCCAACAGTTTGGCAAAACAACTTGGCATCAATAGCAACTTGGCAAATCTTCCCTCCGCGCGCGCAAATATACGCGCGTGTATACGGCTTGGCATCCGGGGCTCTTCGTTCGCTTAGCGGGGCTCTTCGTTCGCTTAGCGGGCCTCTTCGTTTTGTTAACGGGTTTTTTTATTTTACCAAGTTAAAAATGCCAAACTCTTGGAGATGGATTGTTTTTTTACTTGGCATATAATTTTGGGAGTTGACAAATCACAAGATTTGCCAAGTAAAATTTGACAAACTCTTGGAGATGCTCTAAAGTAACTTCACAGATGCAGGAGGAAGATCTCGCTGACCTGTTAATCTGTTACTCTATCACGTTCACCTAGCACGCCTTGCAATCCAAATAGGGAATGCCATTTAGTTTCTTTTCGCTATTAATGCATCATCATCTCTAACAATCCAACTTAAAAGCAATAGTAACTGTTTGAGCAATTATACTTTAGAGTTCAGCCAAGGCAGAAGTAACACTGAGAGCTCTGATATTCAAAGGCTGAATTCTAGAAACAGTAGCCATTCCTAATATAAGTACTGCATCATAGCCAAGTGACCTGGGTCAAAAGTTAATATGGTCAAAAGAAATTCAGTACGGGATTCCAAATGTTACTTCTGTGAGCAAGAGGAAACTGCTTCTCACTTGTTTTTTTAATACCATGTGGCACGTGTGGAGAACCATAACCAAGTGGCAAGTGCTTTGGTGCTGTTAATATTCACATGAACTTGCAACAATAGCAGCAATAAGATGGGCTATCTGGAAAGCCCAAAACAGGGCATGATTTGAGAATAAACTGATTAAGAATCCAGTAGAGACATGCTGGTGCAATATTGGGCAAGTTTATATCCAGAAGAAATACAAGAGGTGGTTATGGAGGGAGTGTGGGCAATGGTCAATGCCGCTACACAGCTCCTGGTGTCGATTACATCTGGTACAACTTCGCCCTCAGAAAATCAGATCCATGAAGGCTCCAGTGTGTGAGGGGGTAGCAAAAGGAGCTGGAAACTGGAGGTGAACTAGCGAAGTGAGAGTTCATGTCCAACTATAGGAAAAAGACTTGGTCGTTTGGTTATTTTGGTAACCAGATTGTTTTGTGGTCGCAGGTTTTGTACTGTTGGGGTCTGCTTAGCTGGTAGCTTCTATCAGCTTAGCTGGTAGCTTCAACCAAGGCTTGGAGCCTTGGTTGATTTCTTTAGTGGCTTCCTGTCTAGCCTTTCTTTCCTGCCTAATTACTCTGTTGAACAGTAATCACCTTGTTTTCCCGTTGTGGTTAATGGAAATGGGGGTCATCCTCACTTGGGAAAAATATATATATATAATAAATAGTGCATAGCCAGGTTAAGGCAGTTACCTATTGCAAAACCATCATACTCTACAACAGAATCATCTGGGGTGGCATTTGCTCTACTTTCAAACTCCATGGTGTAAGACATGCCTGAGCATCCACCCTGTTTCACGCCAATTCTCAAGCACAAATCTTCGTTCCGTTCAGCCCTCATTTTGTTCAGATATTTCAAGGCCTTTTCAGTCAATGAAATTGATGGAGCAATGCTACCAGATGTTGCTGCCGCCGCCGCCGCTGCAAAATATGATCAATCATTGACTTAACGTTAAATGGGGCATGAGCAGAATTGTGTGTGTGGGTTTTTTTTTTTTTTTTTTTTTTTTTGCTGTTATTGGAAACTTGAACATATGAGTGATGTTAGAATCAATAGTTGAAGTCCACTTCAATCTATAGCTCCACGGTCGTGTTTGTTGGCAGTAAAAATGCTCATGGATCGTTGTTGTTCTCATGTTAACGACAAAATATTGAAGTTCAGTTTGACCTACCACTGACCAATCATGAACATCAGAAACAAAATGCTTACTGCAGTGCCAGTTGCAACTTTTGTAATGAATAAAACATGCTACTAGTTGACAATTATACAGGTCATGAGTATTGTATTTGCACATTACACATAGCTTTAGAAAGGGGAAGTTTTACTTGTGGCTTGATGAAAAAAGGAAACAAAATCCAGGTAACCCCAAGCAAAACTGTCATGGACCACAGTCCTTGGGATTTATAAGGTTATACGATGTACTACTTGGGAACTAATATGTCTGAGGCTTTCTACTTCTCTGAAAGCAGTGAAGTTTAAACCTCTGTGATTCAAGGATAAACCGAATGCGGATAACCTGGCAATGAAAGAAACAAGGTCGAAACTGCCAAGCATTGAACTGAGAACGAGGGTAGCCAACAGAAAAGCTAATTCATATTACTGCAAAAAGGCATTTTTCTCAAGTATACGCGAAAGGCAATAGTAGATTGCGATAAGTGTGTGCTTAATTGGAATTCTGTTGAAGCAGAATATATCTTATACTACTGCTGACAGCCGATTTAAAGCATTTCATAATCTCTGCGGCTACGAAACGAAGCTAAGCTTGCTCTGTAAGAGTCTTGCACGTAATATATCCATATCGACTATCGTCCCTGAGATTGTGACCGTATTCAGAAGCTAGAGCATCACGGATCAAACAAAGTTCAGTTTTCATACTCCACAACCCAAAACCAAATCATTTGCCAAGAGCATAAGTGCATAACCCAACTACTTTCCAATTATTATTACGCAGGGAAAAGAAACACCTGGGTTGACCACGGACCTGGATTCGTGGAGGCCTGGAGCATTTTCGCGTCGGGCTCAGCGGGCCGCAGTGAGAAATTAACCACATGCTGATGTGTACATTCACCCTCTAAACACACGTAAACTCTACCGTACGAGCACGTCTGAAGAACTAAACGGTTAAATCGCAAAGTTAACAAAGTCATCACAAAAATCTCACCGTGGATACTTGTCTGTTGAGCCATATACGAGATTCATCTGTTACCGTGGTGTATAGAATGGTAAATCATGTGCAACCTAACTTACTAGAAATTGTGGGCTTCGATTAAGTGAAGACAAAAAAAAGGGGAATTTTGTGTGGTGTCTTTGGATACCCTTTTCGCCTTGATCTCATTTATAGCTAGATAAAATCTTAAACGATGAACATGTATTTGGATTTCTCATCGACTACATCGATCTTTACTTGTGAAAAACAAAGACTTCCTACACGGGTTCCGGATAGCCTTGCCCAGCAAGGCGAGGCGGGCAGCATGGGCAAGGGAATCAAGCAGACTCGTTTGGTTCTCTCGCCTGTTAGACTCACTCGTCTTGCCGTGCCAAGCGAAGCTGCTACTGCTAGCATTGCCAGGGCTGGAGACTAAATTTGAGTCGATAAAAAAGCTTAAGAGCCCAAGAATCAAGGCCATAAGCAAACAAAACAAACGCTTCTATCTTTAACCATCTACTAGGCAAGGCAAAGGCCCGGTTCAAATAATGCCCTCATAGTTTCCCCAAGCTTGACATGTGGTAACCACTCGGTAAATAATGAGGGGCCTGTGTTTTTTTATCGGCACAAAAAATAAATCAGCTCTTAATTTGCTTTTTTCCACAAAAAAAATGTACATACTGCACAAAATAAATTAACTCTTAGTTTACTCTTTTTTTTTCAAAAAAAATATGTACAAACTACAACACGATTGCAATAAAAAGAAGAATAAGTTCTTACATCTCTGACCCAATTATTACTTGTTATTTCAACACTTGCAAAAATATGCAATACACATAAATGAAAATGTATTTTACTGTACCTAAAAGTTTACAAAAGATGGTCTAAATCACGCGATTCAGCCTAAGTGTTATTATGATATAACCTCTCTAGCAAACACATGCCGTTAAACAAACGAAGACTTGGCCGCGCTAGGGTTTGGCCGGAGCTCCGCGGCCGTGCTAGGGTTTGGTCTCCGGGCAAACCCTAGCACGGCCGCGGCGACGCCTTCTTCCTCTCCCCTTCCCGCCACGGTGACCTTCGGGCATGGAGCCCCTGCCCCTCCTTGGCCCGGCCGCCTGCGTCGCCGCAAGGGGCCCGAACCACACGGGCGTTCCCACTGCCTGGCCGGCCTATCCCCCAGGACCCCTTCTCTTCTAAGCCCGCCAGAGTTGGGGAAGACCGCCGCCAGAACCCTACTAGTTGCGATGTCGTCTTCTTCAACTCCGGTGGGTCGCGCGCATGGTCCCGGGCGACTGCGCGAGGGAGAGGGAGACGGAGATACGGGAGGGAGATGTAGGGTCGCACTGTAGCGCGACGGTTCACGTATTGGAGTTTCCGATACACTAGTGGAGGGACAGGCTTTACTCCGGGTGGAGAACCCCTTCTAGTCCCGGTTCCCCACCCGGGAGTAAGCATCCGGGACTAAAGGGGGTCCTTTAGTCCCGGGTCGGAAACCGGGACTAAAGGAACCTTTAGTCCTGGTGCATAACACCAACCGGGACTAAAGGTCCTCCCAGCTTTAAAAAAAATAATGCCTTCCACCGCTGCGTCCCGTGAGATTCGAATCCAAGACCTCATGCATTGCCTTGCGCGTAGCTTACCACCCCACCTACACAACACATCTAACAATGGATGGGATGCTTCCCTTTTGAACTAACCCATCGGGGGACCTTTAGTCCCAGTTGCCAACCGGGACTAAAGGTTGGAGGACTTTTAGTCCCGGTTGGTGGCTCCAACTGGGAGTAAAGGTCCACCTTTAGTCCCGGTTGGTGTCTCCAACCGGGACTAAAGGTCCCCTGCCACTGTGCCGAGCGCAGTAGCCATTGGGCGGCGCAAAAAATGCCGAGACTAGAGCCTATTTTAGCCTCGGATGAAAGATCTGTTCTCTACTAGTGATATTATTTAGCAAAAATCTGATTAATATCATAAAGAACAGGTAACTTCATCTCTTATTACCGCACGGAGTTTCATCAAGCATAATAGAGTACGTAGTCACTGACGTGTACACAAGATTCATCGGTCACCCAAAGCAACTGCAACTTAGTACGGACTACGTCCGTTCGTTCCTCTGACGACGTCATGGATGACGACAAAACAAGGCAAGAAAGCCGCCAACCGCGGTGACAACCGCCATCGCCCACACGGCGGCGGCGACGGGCCAGGAGGGCATCGCGGCAGCCACCTTCCACGCGAACAGCACGGTGAGCATCGTGCAAAGCGTCCAGACCTCCCGTTTCACCCGACGCCGCAGTCTCCTGCCGTCGTCGTCGTCGTCGTCGGTGTCGGCCGCTAGCTGGCGCGGCGGCGGCAACCGCTCGTAGGCGCGGAGGCTGCGGAACAGAAGCAGCAGCGCGGCGTAGCTGACGCCCACGAACGCCGCGGAACCGACGTCCCCTGCGGCCGCGGCTCTGTAGGCGGACACGCCCGACGTCAAGGTTACGGCGGTGAGGCCCGTGAAGGTGAGAACCGTGTCGTCGGCGTCTCCTCCTCGTCGCTCCATATTGAACTTGGTCGAAGCCTTGCTATCCTTGCAGCAGGCGATGAAGCTAAGCATGGATTTCTATATATAGGCCAATAACGGCGGTTCAGTGCCGTGCTCAGCAAGTGAACTAGATCTCTCGTGTCACTGTCTGTCTCATGTGCAAAAAGCCATTACGACACGACAGTCACGTGCAGTCACAAAACGTATAACCGTGTTCGCTTGTCTTATAATCCGTACTTTTCAGCTTATTTTTTCAACCGGAACAGCGTGTTTCTCTCGCAATAAATTAGTCGGAACAGTGTTTTGACTTGTTTTTTTAGCGAAGTAAACATGGCCTACAATGTTTTTTAGCTTACCAAACAAGCATCTAAGATGGCAAACTTGGTAGCCAAGGCGTAGGGAAATTACCACTGAAGAACGATAAACTGATGCCCTTGTCGTGAGAAAAAAAAGGCATAGTCAAACTAGGACCGAAGGACTCCTGGTCAACTCAATTATGAGGCAAGTCTTGGTGAGAAATTTTATGGCGTTGTTTTCAAAACTGTCATGTCATATGTAATGAAATGAAATACGGATGAAACATCAATTTTAGTGAAGAGTTTCATTCTATGGTTTCATAAATATTTAATTTTATGACTCATAGAAAGTTTGTAATCATGCTAGGAGAGTTTTATTCCGATGAAACTCATTTCTTCTTTCTCTTCTTAAAAATGTTGACATATATCATTAAGAAAGCTTATATGACAACTTATTAAATACAAATAAAACTCTGATAAACCACCACTGAGATTGGCCATAAAAGACACGACATGATCATTGATCGATCACTGTGGGGGTATATTTGGGTGTACATGTCGGTTTTCTCTTCTCGGCAATAAAAAATGGAGACCAATGTACTGTATTTTCGTAGACTTGTACGTAGCTGATCATCTCCAGCGTGCTCCAGCTCCATTTCAACATAGCGCTATAATAACGATCGGACAACACAAGCGGCAAGCCCATGCATCATATATTATATACCATCATGCATATCATCACCAGCAACGTGCAAACGCAGCTATTGACGTGGTTGAAATTGAAACAAGGCAACAAAGCCTCCAATGGCGGTGGCAGCAGCAACAGCCCAGACGAGCAGCGCCGCAGACCAGCAGGGCATCATGACTCCGGCAACCCGCGGCGCAAACACTACGGTGAGCAGGGTGGTGAGGCACACACCGCGCGCCTGATTCTGATACGACGACGGTCCCTTCGGCCGCCGGCGTCGGCTTCGCCCGGCGGCGCGCGTTCGTAGGCGCGGAGACAAGCCAGGAGCAGCAGGAGCGTCACGTAGGTGGCGACCACGAAGGCCACCGTGGCGGTGTCCCCTGCGGCCCGGCCGGCCCCGGAACGCGGCCACGGCGGATGAGACGGTGACAGCGAGGAAGCCCGCGCCGACAAGCCAAGTAGTGCGCGCGGCGTGCCTCTGATCTCGATCATCCATAGGGTGCATGCTAGCTTAGCTAGGGTGTTTGGCCTTGGAAGAGTGCGTCGTCTCTTCTGTCTTCAGGTACAGAGAAATGGTTTTATGCACGGCCGAGGAGGAGGAGCCTTGCTTGACACGGAAACCGGTCAGTGGTCACTATCCTTATCGAACCGACCTACTTTACTTAAGGCTTGCCAAGGAAGTTAAGGTTATTCACTGGTATTCTTGGCCAAATGGGCCAGGCCTGCTGGGCCGGCACTGAAAAGCACGGCCCGGCCCGGTGGCCATCGTGCCCGTGCCTGGCATGGCCCGGTCGTAGTGCGCCTGGGCCGCGACTTCAGCCCGCAGTGCTGGCACGGGAACGGCACGGAAATTGGGCCGGCATGATGCGGCCCGGTAATTCTCTACCGTTGGATGACCTCTGATGCATTACAACCGTTGGATGCAGTGTATAAATAGGCAATCCTAACCCTAGCTTTCTGGTGCTCCCTCCGCTCGACGTCCCCGCGGCGGCGGTGCTCGGGCGCGGCGCATCTGCTCGTGGCGTGGGCAGCACAGGCGCACTCGCGCGGCGGCAGCGCGTCCCCGAGCTCCCGTGTGGTGATGACGGCGAGCCCAGCTTAGGAGCTCCTTTTACTTAAGGCTTGCCAAGGAAGTTAAGGTTATTCACTGAATCACTGGTCAATGTCAAGTCAAGGTCAACGAGCACAGCATAGGAGCTCCTTTTACTTGAAAAGGAATGTGAGCGCATCCCCTTCTTCCGTAGAACGGTAGAAGTGACATGGCACTGGCCACTGGCATCCGAGTATCCGAATTCTTTTTCCCGTAAAAGGAACTGGACGGAGTAACACACCGCGAAGATGAGCAAGAAATTACGGAGGCCTTTTCTCTGAAATTAACGGCCTCGATCGGATCGGAAGCGACGGAACCTCACCTTACATGAAGCGAATAACTGATGCCCCTCCAGGCTCCAGCCGCAAGCAACCCTGCATCCTCACTACCTCAGTTGAAAGTGAAAACCAACGACACATCGGCGACAGGGTGAGTGACTTTCTGCTTAATGAAATGAGACTTACTAGCGTCCGGAGCATATGAGCGCCTCTGCTGTATGCGTACGTACATCTGTCCCCCGTCTATCTCACCCCGCTCCGGTCAGCCTCACCCTACCCCGCACGCGCACTCAGTCTACGCCCGCCACTCCTTCCCCCTGACCCCCTCCCTTCTCCACGCGGGTGCGACCCAAGAGCTGGATAAGGACGACCATGCCCCGTCCGCAGGACCCCAGACGTGTTGTGCGCCCCATCAGTGCCTGGGCCATGCCCCATGGATCTCTGAACGTACCTCTAGAAGACGAAACACTTGTAGCATGAAACACTAGAATGTAACATAAGTCTGAAGCAAAGAAATATCTGGAACCTATACTTGCAACATATGTGTGAAATATATGCAACATCCAGATAAAACACTTACAACATGAAAATACTTACTACAACATAAGAATGAAACAACTGAAACATTTAGAACATACTCTTGCAACATTTGTGTGAGACATACAACATCTGGGAAAAAAACGCTTGCAAAATACGTCTGAGACAGATGAAACGCTTTGAATAAACGCTTGCAACATGCCTATGAAACTGTCGACAAAAGATGGCGGCGATCCCACACGGGGGGCTACCGGCGATGGTAGATTGATCTGAGAGGTGAGCGAGATCAGGAACGAGATGGTGACAAGACACAAGATCTATACAGGTTCAGGCCGCCAGCTTGACGTAATACCCTAATAATGTGTCTCGACGGTTTGTATTGGCTATCGTATATGATTGCGTGTGTTTTGAGGAGGTCCCCTACCTGCCTTATATAGCCAGAGGTAGGGTTACATGCCGATCAGGTCAGAGTCCGATCGGGTAAGAGATAATCTATACATGGAATCACACATTCTACATATCCTAACAGATTCTACGCGATCTCCAGGATGTCGCTGAGCTGCCTTGCAGCGTGCGCCGAGCAGTGCCGTGCGCCGCAAGGCTGTGTCTTGTGGGCTGGACCGTCCCTGATGGTGGTGTGTCCCATGTCCATCACTGTGGGTACCTGGAGTCAGACCCCCCACAGCTAGTCCCCGAGCACCTTGTATCCGCTTGGTGATGCCGTCTTGATCAAGTCTGAGCAGTTTATCATGAAGCCAATCAGCTTGACTGATGATCTGAACGACGAAGATGAAAACCAACCAGCTTGACTGGTGGCCTGGGCGGTGAAATCACTTGCCGATCAGTTAAATTGACGTGCCGACTTGTGAGGACAGCTACCGAGCAGTTTAGCTGACCAGCAAACCTCGGACTTAGCCAAGTGAGGCCGACCAGCTTGACTAGTGGCCTGGGCGATGTACACACTTGATGTAAGGAGGTCAACAGAAAAATTTGAGAATTCTTGGTCGGTAAAGTGTACACACTTAAGTGTCAGTTGCAATGGCGCCGACGACGTAGTCATCAAAGCGGAGCAAAGGCATTAAGTGATAGATTTCACGTAGTCAAAACATCATGAAGAAGCACCAATACATGCACCGCAAGGTGCAGTGCACACACTGTAGTCCCCGAGCCTGAGATTAGGTATAGAATGCACCTAGTGTCAGGGTCTTTAAGAAAATTAAGCAGTCCCTAGCATAGCTAAGAATGCAACCAGTCCCCAGCGTAGCCGTGAAAGCATAGCAGTACATTCACCGTAAGGTGAAGTGTACACACTTAGTCCCTGAGCCTGCTAGAAGATAAAGAATGAATCTTGTAGCAGGGTCAAAGAAAAGCCTTAAAAGCTTGCCAACGTCATCTGCCATATACTTATCAAGACCCCGGACGTGCTGCCCAAGATCAGCACCCAGATCCGAACAACATGGAGCAACTTGATAGCACACGATGAGACGTAGCAAAATTCGACCGTCAAGGAAGTCCCCAGCTTAGCTGACGACGCTTGCACGAAGAATCTAAACACCGAGGAGTCCCCAGCTAAGCTGGCGAGCCCTAGCGTAGCTGATGATGAAGCCCAAACGATGAACAATCCGACCAGTTGGTCGGCGAAGAAGTGAGCACTGAGCAGCCAAACCAACTGATCGGCGGTAAAGTGAGCACGGAGTAGAAGTGAGCACCGAACAGTCCGACCAACTGGTCGGCGACGAAGTCGATAAACCTAGCGGTCCGACCAGTTGATCGGCGGAGAAGTCGGACTGCCAGGTGGTGCGACCACCCGGACGATGATCCCCTTGTCCTTCCCGGGTGATCCAGTCCTCGAGCGTAAAAAATAAGCTCGTTGACTGAACTGGGCCCCTGCAATACAAATATGTAGGATGGGTAGTATATGATGTAAAAATATATGAACTCCGGAGAAAAATCAGCAGTAAAAAATAGCATATGCAGCTTGGCGATCTGTTGTAGATAAACATTATGTTTGTTTGGAGTTTGTTCATATTTTAAATATGAGTAATTCCATTCCAGTTGGTTCTATATCGCGCCACCAGCCCTGACTAGCCCAAACTCTATAGTGCGGAGTGGCCGACACCCGTGTACGC